CACAGAAAGCTTCAGTTCCTTCAAACAATCAAATTCTTTTTACTCTCCATAAAGACACTATTCCTTTCTTTAGAATGCTCTACCACCTACTTTTACCCACAAACCATATGGTGAATTCCATTCATCCCTTAAGATCCACTTATTTATTTAACAGACATTTACTGAGTACCAATATACATCAATGAACACTTGTCTTTACCTCTATCACAAAGTAGGGCTTGTTTCTGCTTCTTGTTTTGTACAAAAAACTAGCCAGTTCATAATTCTATTACTGTACTTGTTAGATTTTATGTTTATATGTCCATCCCCCCCAAATGAATACCTTAAAGAAGTAATTCTGTTTTGGTTATATTTCTAGAACTAATTCAGGGATTGTTACAGCTCATCAATCATGGTTTGCTCAAGGTAGTAATAATAATGATAGCAATAATAACAATAATATCTAAATGATATGCAGTGATTCCTTATGCTATGAGAATAGTTTATACATATCATTGTTCTTCAGTCGCTAAGTCATGTCTGTGACCCTCTGGACTGCAGCATGCCAGGTGTCTCTGTGTCTTCACTATCTCCCAGAGTTCACTCAAATTCATGCCCATTGAGTTGGTGATGCCAGCCAACCATCTCATCCTCTGCTTGACCCCTTGTTCTCCTGCCCTCAGTCTTTCCCAGCATCAGGGTCTTTTCCAATGAGTTGGCTCTTTGCCTCAGATGGCCAAAGTGTTAGAGCTTCAGCTTCAACATTAGTCCTTCCAATGAATATTCAAGTTAATTTCCTTTAGTATTGATTTCCTTTAGGTTTGATCTCCTTGCTGTCCTCCCTTGGAGAGGGAGAGTCCCTTCTCTCAAGAGTCTTCTCCAGCAGCATCATTTGAAAGCATCAATTCTTTGGCACTCAGCCTCCTTTACGGTTCAATTCTCAAATCCATACATGACTACTGGAAAAACCATAGCTTTGACCGTATGGAGATTTGTTGGCAAAGCGATGTCTCTGGTTTTTAATATACTGTCAAGTTTTGTCATACAAGTTGGTTTGTATAAAATCCCTACAATAGTACTTTGAGGCAAGTTTTATAATCCTCATTTACTGGCTGAGAAACTAAAGTTCAAAGACAGAGGCAAGACTTCTGTATGTTACTAATACTTCTCAACATTATGTTCTTTATGGCAATGTGGCCCCCAAACAGGAGCATCATCATCACTCACAAATTCAACGCATTGCTTAACATATATATTCTTGGGTTCCAACCCATACCTACTCAATCAGAAAAACTGGGGTCAGACCCCTATAACCTGAGATTTAACAGGCCCTGGAGGTGATGATGGTACCTGCTAAAGTCTGAGGACCACGGCTCTATAATCTAATATAGAAATAGCCTGGCCAAGAAAATGTGATCAGGTAAGAGTATGAAGCAACTTTCCTCTAGAAACTTGGTAATTGAATTCATATGATAGAGAATAATGGCAAAACAATGTATAGAAAAATGAGTCCTCCTGAAATCAGAAGTCACTTTTAATGCTCGTAACTCTTAAATAGAGTTTGAAATTTAACACCGAGTCAATATGTTGAACTTGTCAATGCTTAGTTAAAACATATGGAAAATAATCCTTTCCCCCCCACAATATAACTACTTTGGGATTTATTGTACATGATGTTACACATTCCTGTTTATAGGAAAATACTCCTTATATCTGGTTTTATCATACCAAAGGCATCTTAAACATCTCCAGGTCAAAGTTCTTGTTTTCTTTAGTTGTATATTCACTCATGTGCCATAATTCTAGTTGGGAGATATTTTAACAATTTCTTATTGAATTGAATTTAGCTAGGTTTGATTAGCCTCTCTATTCCCTTTCTTTACACTAGGGAGTGTCTTTATAAAATGTCTCAAGTAATATTGTAGTAAAAATTGCTATATGGTAATAGGGAGTCAAATTCTGATTTCTGAAAAGACAAGAATGCAAGATAAGGATGGAACACTCCTTTTAGGGAGACATGTCTGCTGAGGGATTTTAGAGTATATTTCCACTCCCCAGGTAGAGAGCAAGCAATAGTAATGAATGTGCACTCTGTATCGAGTACTGCATACAGCATAATTTGCATATACTCCTATTAAAACAGCTTAGAGGACTCAGGAAGTTCACTGTGTCATCGTGTAGACAAACTATTTAAGCATGCAAAAGAAGAGTCATAAACAAATAAAAAGTTATATAAACAAATGCAAGTATAGGAACAATAAATGCCTGTTAATGGCCATGCACTGGTGAGAATAGGAAAAAGAAAGCTTCAGTACTTTTGGACCAAGCATAGAGCCTATGCTGATTCTGTATACTGTTTTGTCTTGATTTTCATTCTAGTCTTGATTCAGATGATTTTGGACTATGGTGCTTATAAGATCAAAACTTCATGTTTTTGTATATAAACCAATGTTCTCTCTCGACTTAGTCTATGAGCAAATTCAGCATTCAGAGCAGATGCCAAATTTGTCAAAAATTAAGATATTTTATAAAAATATTTTTATGAAAATACCATGCATTTCTCATAAGGCTACAATGTTAAAAAAACAATCAACCAATATTAATGATTAGTATGTTAGTCTCTGATTTCCCTGAGGGTATATTTATCTAAAACACAAAACGGTAAAAAATTAGGAGAAGTTGACTAATTTACTAACTAATTTAATGTCAGAATTCAGAAAAGGATCCATGTAGGTAATAATTTAACTGAAGGAGAGTATTTAAGAAGAACATTGTAGGATAAACTGAGTCTACATAGAAAAATATCTGATTTGTAAGAATTCACTGCCTGGAGCTTTCTTATAGGCCAAAGAAATCGGATTTTAAACTTATCCTCAAGGTTAGGACTTTCAATCAGAAATCCTTATACAGAAAAAGTGGCTCGATTAGAGCCTTGTCATACTAAGATAACTCTGGAAGCAGTGTAGAGGGTTCATTTAGAAAAGCTCTAATCAAGACCAGACATTTAACACACATACATAAACAAATAAACCCTAAGGGTAGAATTAGAATGAATGGTCCTGAGCCCTGGCAGACTATAAGAGCAAGTTTAATTTAGCAAAGTGATGTATCTGACTTGTGAATTGGATGCTTATATTTCTCTAAATTAAGTCCAATAAAATGTATTTGCTAAATGTTTTAAAGCAAAGACAGTGATTATGGATAAATTACAGATAGTTCCTTGTTTGGGGGGAAAAATGTATATATATATATATATATATATATATATATATATATATATATACACACACAGAGAAAGAGTAACTAAAATAGAAAAGGGGCAAGAATTATGGAAAAACCTGAATAAATTTTTTTGCCAACCCAATAATATAGACAATTCTATCTGTTAGACCTCCCTGTCCAAATAAGATACATGAATTACAAGTTAAAATAATCAGAATGGTTTGCATATACCTATATCCTAGAAGGAACTGTGATGTTGGATAAGACTTTTGAGAGTCCCTTGGACTGTAAGGGGATCAAACCAGTCAATCTTAAGGAAATCAGTCCTGAATAATCATTGAAAGGACTGACGCTGAAGCTGAAGCTCCAATATTTTGGCCACCTGATGGGAAGAACTGACTCATAGGAAAAGACCCTGATGCTGGGAAAGATTGAAGGCAGGAGGAGAAGGGGACTACAGAGCATAAGCTGGTTGGATGACATCACTGATGCAATGGATATGAGTTTGAGCAAGCTCTGGGAGTTGGTTGACAGGGAAGCCTGGTGTGCTGCAGTCCATGGAGTCACAAAGAGTCCGACACGACTGAGGCTGAACTGAACTGAGAAGGTTATCTTTAGAATACTACATATTGCTATATAAATAGGAAACATTTTCAACAAGCATAATAGATGATTTTATGAAAGTGAAAGTCACTCAGTCATGTCCAACTGTTTGAGACCCTATGGACTATACAGTTCATGGAATTCTCAAGCCAGAATACTGGAGAGGGTAGCCTATCCCTTTCCAAGGGCATCTTCCCAACCCAGGGACCAAACCCAGGTCTCCTGCATTGCAGGTGGATTCTTTACCACTGAACCAGAAGGGAAGCCCAAGAATACTGGAGTGGATAGCCTATCCCATCTCCAGTGGATCTTCCCAACCCAGGAATCCAACTGGGGTCTCCAGCATTGCAGGCAGATTCTTTACCAACTGAGCTATCAGGGAAGCCCAGGTGATTTTTATACTTGGTTTTAAAAAGAAGCTCCAGGAGTTGGTGTTTGACAGGGAAGCCTGGCGTCCATGGGGTCGCAGAGTCAGAAACGACCAAGTGACTGAACTGAACTGATACTTGGGTTTTAACAGACATATGATATCAGGTCCAAGATATGTGCATGTGGGGTAAAAAAGAAAAATCACTACTAACGTTAATAGCCATCTCCTCTGTAAACTTATTCCACCTTAAAAGAGTGTGTGCATGTGTGTGCGTGTGTGTTTAAGGGCATGAAGGAGCAGAACTATGGTTAACATTTACATTTCTATGCACTTTTACTGAGACAAGTACATTTTTTGCCCTCTGTGAGAACTACTGAAAAACAAATTTATTAATGTTTAGCTAGTTTTATTCTCAGAAATTTGTATTTTCAGAACCACCAATTTGAAGAAATAATTCATGGAATTTCTCTGTCTATAATCTAAATACTATAGATGAGTTCTAAAATGGCCACAGCTAACAAATACTTAGCCCTTACTATTGTCAAGCACAAACCTCTGTGGCTTTTGTATATTAACTCATTTATTTCTCCAACTTTCCCACTAGATATATATCATTCTAAAACTGTTTTACATGAGAAAATGGAGCACACAGAAATAGTGTTCACATACCTTGTAAAATTACCCAATTTAAGGTAAATCTGGTTCAAATTACACTTAATCAGAAACTGACTACATTTGAAAAAGGAAATGTAAAACTGTGGATCTAACACTTTGTGACAGTTTCAATACATTAATATGGATTAGGAGACTTTTCCCCCCTCCTTACCTTTAATCTCTTTGTCGTTTTTGAACCATCTTATATCAGCTGCAGGTTTACTACCAGATGTTTTACAAGTCAGCTGCATCAAGTCTCCTTCCATAACTGGGGATGAAAATCCACTAATTTGAGGTTTCTCAGGAACACCTGAAATGTAGGCAAATGGATGAAATGAACATTAATCTCCAATGGTGATTTGTTTTCATGACTATTACTTTTGCAAACAAGCCAAACTGGGTGTTCAACAATAACTTTAGTCAAGAAAAATAAAATAAAATACAATAATAAAAAACTGCTATATAATAAAAGTTACTTAAAATATATAATATATATATTATATTTATATATATATATATACACACACACACATATACTGGAGAAAGAAATGGCAACCCACTCCAATTCTGTTGCCTGGAGAATCCCATGAAGGAGGAGCCTGGTGAGCTACAGTCCATGGGGTCATAGAACAGTTGGGCACGACTTAGTGACTCAACAACAACAACATATATACATATATACATGCAAATACATATGTATGTGTCTGTGTAAATATGCATATGTGTGTATATTATCCAGAAAGCACTTAAAATGCATTTAATTCCAAGTAGTTTTTTTAATTAAATTTTACCAGCAAAAATACTCTTTGTAAATCTTAAAAACAACCATTCAATGTATCTTAAGATTTACCACTGTATTTGTTTAAGAAGGTAGATTGCTTGCATCAGGAAAAAAAAAAAATCAGCAAACCATATTTCTTCATTCTTTAGCAAACTGTGATTTAACCACAATAGCACCTTTCATTCCTGACTTCATAATTCTTAGACCTTAAAAGATATTGTTTTTCTCTGTGTACATTTTTTTAGAAAATGCATTTTGGAATAAGGGATTCATCAATAATTGCAACTATACTTATTTTTCTTATTCTTCTGAGGGAAAGAATGTCTCTTGATGTCATTTGTATTAGAAATACAATTATAGTTTTGTGGAACATGATATGTAATATTTTTAATGCTAGTTAATGCTAGCCACTTATTACCTTTTCTAGTCCAAATCATCCAGTGAATAAACAGAAAGCTAATATGCAGAGATAGACATGGATGACTTAAATAATAGAATGTTACACATTTTAGAGTCAATAATATTCTGCTGTCATGATAGAGATTTATTAAAATTTCTTCTAAAAGTGTTCAATAAAAAAAGCAGGCTGGAAGCTTCTTTATTGTACTATTTAATTCAAAGTTTGAAAAGAATAAAATGTAAGAATGTTGGAAATCACCAAAAAAGAAATGCAAACTAAAAGAACAACAAGAACAATAAAGATAAATGACAAATTGACATATTTCATTAGCTGGCTAGCTTTATTTATTTATTTATTTATTTTTTCTGTTCACCTTCATACTGCTTAAAAAAATTATATCACATCACCATTTAATAAACTGAAAGTAGGCAATTGCCTATTTCTTGGGGTCTCAAGTTGGCTCTCTACAGAACAATGCATTAACCTTAGGCATCTGCTATCCTGAAATACTCCATTTAATGGATATATTTTGTCCTTAGTGGCAAACTTGTGAAGATTTTTATACAATAGTCCCAGTGGGACTTGCAAAGAAACATATTTCATATCCTATGCATAAAACAAATTCACTAGCTGGATTAACTTTAATATTCTAAACCAAAAAAAAAAAAAAAAAACCAGCATGCATTAGTTACTTTAAATACATTGTTATGCTTTTATCTATCAAAAATAAAAGGAAGGCAAACTGAGGCAAAAAAAAAAAAATCAATCTTTAAATTCCTCTAACTTGTTCAGTACACAGGTGTATTTCAATGAACTGCAGCAATTTCAGCTGATTGGGCCACTGACGTCTGTGGAATCACAGAGCTCTGAGCTGCAACTTTATTTCCCCAGAAACACTATGAATGTATTGCTTTCTGATGTCATCATAACCTTTAGAAAAATGGCCCAATACTTAGAGAATAAAAACACAGAAGTTGCAAACTGCATACACAAGCAACACAATGTATTTCATTCAGCAATCTAGAAAAGTACAAAGTTAAAAAGCAAGAAGACAAATAGAAATGTCAGGGTCATTTAAATGTACTTAGATAAACAAAGGGGTCATATTTGGAAGTCAAAAGATATTAGGAGGAGCCCATCAGGTGACTGATGATAAGATGGAGGAGTACTCATAGACACATTGACTTCATTATGCTCATTATTCTATCCCTTTATAAAAGGAGCACCATACATACACTAAAGAGCTGATTTGACACAAAGGAACTTAGCTGAAAAATCAAAAAACCTGTTATCTATCGCTGGCTAAGAAACAAAATGGCTGTGTGCTCTTAGGAACTCCTACAGACCTTCACACCTCTTTGTACCTATTTGCGAAATGGGGGAAATGACTGTGTGAGTTTTTTTAAAGCCTTTTGATAATCCTCAAAGTGGAGATTTGTTATTGAATCATGTTGCTATATCTGTACGCATCTCTCTGGCTTGTGATCACATAGTGTAAGTCTCTTGCACTTACCCAGGACAGTGAGATAGGCCTTGGAAGTTTTGACAGGCATTGTGAATAAAGAACAGGTGTACTGTCCTTCATCAGACAGAGAGACATCACTGACGCTGATACTCAGTTCATGCCAGGAAGCCCGAACCAGCTCAATTCTATTGTCTCTTAAGGCTGGAAAAAAGAAAATATTGAAAATGTGAATTACAACAGTAGACAAAGTCCTGTAAGACCACATACTTTTAGCACAATATATGGCAAACATGGACTATACAGTCCATGGAATTCTCCAGGCCAGAATACTGGAGAGGGTAGCCTTTCCCTTCTCCAGGGGATCTTCCCAACCTAGGGCTTGACCCCAGGTCCCCCAACTGCAGGCAGATTCTTTACCAGCTGAGCCACAAGGTAAACCCAAGAATACTGGGGTGGGTAGCCTATCCCTTCTCCAGCAGATCTTCCTGACCCAGCAATCGAACTGGGGTCTCCTGCATTCAGGCAGATTCTTTACCAACTGAGCTATCAGAGAAGACTTCCTGGCCATGAGTGTGTCTAAATATTGTTTCCTAAAACATTTTAAAGTAATGTTTACATATACTGAATTTTTAAATCAGATTTTTTTTTTTTACAAAGTAGAATTGTGTTCCTTAATGTTCTCAGAAACAACTTTTTAATTAAATGATTGGATCTAGTATATATGATGCTTTGGATGATGTAGATATTGATGGTGATAAAAATGGCTTTCCTTCACAAAGTCTTTCATGAATTGCCAGTACCAAGTAAAGCTATAAACAAAATCATTAACTTCTGTGCACAGACAAAATTGGGAAAACTATGACTGCTCATTTCCTTCTAGGAAACCAACAATGAACCTAAGCATATTGAAAGTTTCTCTGCAGTAGAGACACCTGTCAAACTATTTTTTAATCCAGAGCTTACTTTCAGCTGAAAAGGACCCAGGGAGTTGTTGTGGTTGTTTAGTTGCTAAGTTGTGTGACTCTTTGTGAACCCATTGACTGCTGCCTGCCAGGCTCCTTTGTCCACGGGATGTCCCAGGCAAGAATACTGGAGTGGATTGCCATTTTCTTCTGCAAGGGATCTTCTGGACCCAGGGATCGAACCCATGTCTCCTGAATTGGCAGGTGGATTCTTTATCGCTGAGACACTAGAGAGGTCCACCCAGAGGGTACCTGATATTTTTTTGCTCTGATTGGTTTCTGCCTCTGCTGTAGTATTTGTTTTGTTGTTGTTGTTAGTCGCTCAGTTGTGTCTGGCTCTTTGAGACCCATGGACTGTAGCCCACCAGACTCCTACATCCCTGGGATTTTCCAGGTAAGAACTGGAATAGGTTGCCATTCCCTTCTCCAGGCGATCTTCCCAACCCAGTGATCGAACCTGGGTCTCCCACAATGCAGGCAGGCTCTTTACTGTCTGAGCCACCAGGGTTTAAAATATACTTTGGTTCAAACCACCTTTTCTTACACAGAACACTTGGTTTCACAGAAGATCTCTTAACAACTTGCTGATTTATGCTCCTTTTAGATCATTTTGGGAAAATCATTAAAAAGTTTAAATATCATTATATTTTCCTCTAAATACAGCTATAAAATCAGTAACTAGGCAAGAGGTACTAAAGGAGTAATTTGAAAAGTAGGAAGAGGACACAGGACTGGTTAGGGATTCTAGGACCCAGTTCAGTTCAGTTCAGTCGCTCAGTCATGGACACTTTGCGACCCCATGAACTGCAGCACGCCAAGCCTCCCTGTCCATCACCAAATCCCAGAGCCTACCCAAACTTATGTCCATTGAGTCAGTGATGCCATGCAATCATCTCAACCTCTGTCCTCCCCTTCTTCTCCTGCTCTCAATCTTTCCCAGAATCAGGGTCTTTTCAAATGAATCAGCTCTTCGCATCAGGTGGCCAAAGTATTGCAGTTTCAGCTTCAACATCAGTCCTTCCAATGAACACCCAGAACTGATCTCCTTTAGGATGGACTGATTGGATCTCCTTGCAATCCAAGGGACTCTCAAGAGTCTTCTCCAACACCACAGTTCAAAAGCATCAATTCTTCAGTGCTCAGCTTTCTTTATAGTCCACTCTCACATCCATACTGGAAAAACCATAGTCTTGACTAGATGGACATTTGTTGTCGAAGTAATGTCTCTGCTTTTTAATGTGCTATCTAGGTTGGTCATAGCTTTCCTTCCAGGGAGTAGGCATCTTTTAATTTCATGGCTGCAATAACCATCTGCAGTGATTTTGGAGCCCAGAAAAATAAAGTCAGCCACTGTTTCCACTGTTTCCCCATCTATTTGCCATGAAGTGATGGGATGGATTCCACGATCTTAGTTTTCTGAATGTAGAGCTTTAAGCCAACTTTTTCACTCTCCTCTTTCACTTTCATCAAGAGGCTCTTTAGTTCTTCACTTTCTATCATAAGCATGGTGTCATCTGCATATCAGAAGTTAGTGATATTTCTCCCTGCAATCTAGATTCCACCTTGTGCTTCATCTAGCCTAGTGTTTCTCATGATGTACTCTGCATCTAGGTTAAATAGGCAGGGTGACAATATACAGCCTTGATGTACTCTTTTTCCTATTTGGAACCAGTCTGTTGTTCCATGTCCAGTTGTAACTGTTGCTTCCTGACCTGCATACAGGTTTCTCAAGAGGCAGGTCAGGTGGTCTGGTATTCCCACAGAACTTCCCAGTTTATTGTGATCCACACAGTCAAAAGCTTTGGCATAGTCAATCAAGCAGAAATAGTTTTTCTGGAACTCTCTTGCTTTTCTGATGATTCAGCGGATGTTGCCAATTTGATCTCTGCTTCCTCTGCCTTTTCTAAAACCAGCTTTAACATCTGGAAGTTCACGGTTCACATATTGTTGAAGCCTGGCTTGGAGAGTTTTGAGCATTACTTTACTAGCATGTGAGATGAGTGCAATTGTGTGGTAGTTTGAACATTCTTTGGCATTTCCTTTCTTTGGAATTGGAATGAAAACTGACCTTTTCCAGTCCTGTGGCCACTGCTAAATTTTCCAAATTTGCTGACATATTGAGTGCAGTGCTTTCACAGCATCATCTTTTAGGTTTTGAAATAGCTCAACTGGAATTCCATCACCTCCACTGCTTTGTTCATAGTGTTGCTTCCTAAGGCCCACTTGACTTCACATTCCAGGATGTCTGGCTCTAGGTGAGTGATTACACCATTTTGATTATCTGGGTCATGAAGATCTTTTCTGTACAGTTCTTCTGTGTATTCTTGCCACCTCTTCTTAATATTTTCTGCTTCTGTCAGGGCCATACCATTTCTGTACTTTATTGAGCCCGTCTTTGCATGAAATGTTCCCTTGGTATCTCTAATTTTCTTGAAGAGATCTCTGATCTTTCCCATTCTTTTGTTTTCCTTTATTTCTTTGTATTGATAGCTGAGGAAGGTTTTCTTTTCTCTCCTTGCTATTCTTTGGAACTCTTAATTCAAATGGATGTATCTTTCCTTTTCTCCTTTGCTTTTCATTTCCCTTCTTTTCACAGCTATTTGTATATCCTCCTCAGACAGCCATTTTGCTTTTTTGTATTTCTTTTTCTTGGGGATGGTCTTGATCCCTGTCTCCTGTACAATGTCATGAACTTCTGTCCAGTCATTCATCAGGCATTCTGTCTATCAGATCTAGTCCCTTAAATCTATTTCTGACTTCTACAGTATAGTCATAAGGGATTTGATTTAGGTCATAACTGAATGGTTTAGTGGTTCCCCCTGGCCTTTCTTCAATTTAAGTATGAATTTGGTAATAAGGAGTTCATGATCTGAGCCATAGTCAGCTCCTGGTCTTGTTTTTGCTAGCTATATAGAGCTTCTCCATCTTCGGCTGCAAAAAATATAATCAATCTGATTTTGGTGTTGACCATCTGGTGATGTACATGTAGAGTCTGTTCTTATGTTGTTGGAAGAGGGTGTTTGCTATGACTGGTGCATTCTCTTGGCAAATCTCTATTAGCCTTTGACCTGTTTCTTTCTGTACTCCAAGGCCAAATTTGCCTGTTACTCCAGGTGTTTCTTGACTTCCTACTTTTGCATTCCAGTCCCTTATAATATATATAACTAGGACCTAAGGTACCTAAGGACCTAAGGGCCTCTCCAACCAGCTGTAACAGGCAATTGAGACTTGGCTTCTCCTAACAGATATCTAGCAACAAAAGGTGGCCTAGGTGGACTTGCTTTTATCTCAGGTCAAACGGGATTCCCACCAAGAACTTTGGGAGAGAGGAGGCCGCCTCCAAGGGGAATTAAGCGGGAGTACCGCTGCCATAGAAAGCAGTCTCTTTCTCCACTGGGCTGGCCACCAGGGAAGCCCTTCCCTTTCCTACTGAGAGAGAGCAGTCAGCTGGACAGCACAGGCAGTGGATAATTCTATAACAATTCTAAAGCAATTACCCAGCCCTTGAAGGGGTCTTTGACAAGACTGGTACAACTACCAGGAAACACAACTCCCAGGTCAGCTCAAACTGAGCAAATAGCACCACAAGTCTCTGAAAACTAAATTGTCAGCGGTACTGTAGCCCGCAAATATAAGCTAGGATCTGTGTGATGAATCTATATAAAAGAGAAGATGTAAATAGTATCCAGATTCTCCTAACATAATAGCCAAACTGTCCAGCACCTGATAAAAAAAAAAGAAAAATTACTGGCCACACCAAATACTAGGAAAATCAAATCTTTAATGAGTACAAATAAGCAACAGATGCTAAAACTGAGTTGAAATGGATGTTAAAATTATCTGACAAAAAGAATTTAAAGAAGTCATCATAAATTTATTTTAACAGGCAATTGCTAGTTATCTTATAACAACACAAAATATAAAAGTAAGGAAGTATTTAAAAAAGAACTAAAAGGAAATTATAGAAGTCAAAAATACAATAATCAAAATAAAAACTCACTGGCTCGGATTAACAGTACAATGGTAACAACAGAGAATATAATCAGTGAACTTAAGGACAGAGAAACATAATTCACCTGATCCAAACAAGAGAGAGAAAACTGATTGGAAAACAAACAAAAAAACAGAATCTTAGAAATCTAAGGGAAAATGACACAGTATCCAACATTGTTACCATATGAGTTGCAAAAGATGAGAAAGAGAGTGGGGCTGAAAGAATTTAAGAAATAATGGTCAAAA